TTCAAGGCCGTTGTTGGTTCTTAACACTCTTAAAGTTTTTGCCTGTCTGATTTTCGACCAGAGTCTTCCAACCTTTGAAATTCTCAAAAGTTTCATCCTTAGTCTTTTAGATGAATATCCATAACTTTCTAGAAAAATCATTAACTATGGATAGAAAATACCTTGCTCCTGAATGTGATGGACACCTTGCAGACCCTCAAAGATCAACATGGATGTAATCAAGGGATCCATGATTTCTTTGTTCGCACCTATTGAACTTCACTCTGCAAGTTTCTCCAAGTACACAGGGTTCATAAAATTTCAGCTTTTCGACTTTGTCTCCTCCAAATAGATTTTGTTTCCCCAATTCGACCAGACCCCTTTTACTGACATGGTCTAATCTCATGAGCAAAATTTATGTCTTCGACAAAGGTTTCTTGGATGCAACGTTTGTTGAACCACTTACAACTTCAATCTCAAGGATATACAAGCCTTATTTCTTCATGCCTCTTAAGATTTCCTTCGAACCCTTTATGACTCTTAGGATACTTTTCTCTCTTTGAAAAATATATTCGTTATTGTCGAATTCACTAAGAGAAATCAAACTTCTCTTTAAATCTGGTACATACCTGACTTTAGTCAATAACCTTATTGACTTATCATGGAGCTTGAATCTCACAGATCTGATACCCGTAATTTTGCAAGCTTTGTTGTTTCCCAGTAACACTAATCCACCATCTTGATCACACAATTCCTTAAACACGTCTTTATTTGGAGTCATGTTCCAAGTGCAACCTGAATCCATAATCCACTCATTTCTTGAGTCGCTGCTTGAAACCACAAGGACATTAGATGAGTCAAAGTTATCTTGAATAATGGTTGTGTTGCCATTATCCTTACCTCCATGATCTTTCAGGTATTCAGAGCACACCTTTCTTGTGTGACCCTCCTTCTTATAGTGATAACATTGAATACCAGATGCCTCACCAGTATAAGACTTCTTCTGACTTTTACCTTTCTTCTTGTTGAACTTACCATCCTTTCGCAAAAGTTTTCCCCTAACGACCAAACCTTCACCAGCCGTCGAAGGTTTATGCTCCTTTCGTTCATTCAAGTCCTTAGAGTATAAGGTTGATTGAAATTCTTCAAAACTCAGGGACTCCCTTCCATACAAGAGAGTTTCTTTGAAGTGAGCATATGTTATGGGCAAAGTGCACAACAACAACAATGCTTGATCTTCATCATCGATCTTTACATCAATATTTTCATGATCAAGAATCATCTTGTTGAACATATTCAACTGCTCATCCAACACTTTGTCTTCACTCATCTTGAATGAATATAAAGCTTGCTTCAGGTAGAGTCGATTCACCAGAGATTTATTCATGTAGAAACTTACAAGTTTCAACCATAACCCCGATGTCGTAGTCTCATTTGATACCTTTCGGAGAACCTTATCACCAAGGATCAACAATATTGTGTTGTGGGCTTTCTCAATCATGATCTTCTTTTCAATTTCTGTTAACACAACGTTCATGAATACCTCTCCCTTCATTGCTTCCAAACAACCCTGTTGAACCAGTAGAGCTTTTATCTTCAAGCGCCACAGACCAAAATTGTTCACTCCAGTGAACTTTTCAATCTCATACTTTGTTGAAGGCATCTTCCTCCATGCTCACCGCACCAATTTTTTGTGAAAAATGATACCTTGAAATAAAGTATAAACTGTTTCTTTATGATCAAGAAACACATAAGGAATAGGGTTAACGGGAAAAACAAGAAGAAGAGCAACAAGGATTGTTTATAACTGTTATTCTTTACTTTCTCTTTAAACAAATTAAAAGTACTTACGAAAAACAAATAATCCTCTCACCCTTATTGAGATTTGTCACACATAAGATGAGAGACTAATATGCTATTTATAATAAAATCTAACATACTAAACTAATTAGCTTTTTAACAATTACCCATTACAAGCTAACTTAGGGTACAAGCTAACTTAAACAATTGGATCCTTAACACAAGGCCTAATTCGAAAACTACATACTAGAACACATTTTGACTACAGCGTATAGATCTCCAACAACAACATGTGAGTAGACTTCGACGACATACTAAACCTTTGTCGACTATATTAGAGTTCGATCCAATATCTCACAAATAATAACAACAAAAGCAAGAGAAAAAATAAGAATAACAACAAGAATAATAGGAGCAACAACAATAACAACAAGAACAAAAAGAACAACAAGAATAACAACAACAACAACAATAACAACAATAACAAGAATAACAAGAACAAGAACAAGAACAAGAACAACAAGAATAATAACAACAAAAATAACAACAACAAGAATAAAAATAAGAATAACAACAAGAACAACAAGAGTAAAGACAACAAAAAGAATAATAACAAGAACAACAAGAACAATAATAACAACAACAATAACAAACAAAAATAAAAATAACAACAAGAACAACAAGAGGAACAATAAGAACAACAACACGAACAAGAATAAATAAATAAGTAAATAGAATCGTTAAGCAATAACATTTTACATGTAGAATCGTTAAACAGAAACAAACTGCAACACATTAATGGAAGCAATGTTTCTGAGTTTCATTTATGGAAGAAATAATGTTTTCAAGTTTGGTTTAGTGGATGAATAATGTTTCGAAAATGGAAGAAGTTTGGAGGCAGAAGATGAAGTTTGTCTAAGTACGTCTATGGTAAAAGTGAATGAACTAAGAGCGTTATATATGTCTTAAAAAAAGAAGGCGCCACCTATAACCACAATTTATTTAAATATCTGTGGTGAAAGGTATGTCACCTATAACCACAATTGATTTAAATACCCGTGGTGAAAGGTCTATCAATATTTTTAAAAAATAAGTAAATAACCAAAAATGCTGGTGTTGGGATTTGAACTCATGACCATACGCCACTTTTCACCACATGTATTAAATCAACTGTGATTATAGGTGGTTAAATAAAATAAAATGCATGCGCCTAAATAGCACATATTACAATGGTTGATTGAATATTCGTAGTAACGCAGACGTTATTATATGTGTTTTCCGTAGTAGTGTGTCCCTTTTTAACAAATCCTTCTCATTTTTTCTCCTCTGAATTCCAAAACAAAGTTTAAGAGTTTGTTTTGAAAAGTAAGGATTTTTATAAATGGAAGGATGAGGTGAAAGGAATTGAGGGATTAAATATAGAGTGTTTTTGAGAGAAAGGGGTTAATTTTATTCATAATAAAAAAATTTCCTAGTTTAGAAACTTAAAAATTGTATTGGATGAGAGGTTTGAAGGATTTTTTATGGATTAAATAAATTGTTCAACTAAAATATGTTATTATAACATTGTAAAAAATAAAAATGTTATTAATGATAAACACTCATTTATCATTCTATACCGATTTTTTAAAAAAAAGATGTTAAAGATTTCTATATTTTTCTTTAAATCACTTTCTTCTAGAGCTCTATATTCTGCCCTTAATTCGCAAACAGAGCCTTAACATAACACATCTCTTTATTGCAACCCTTAAACAATAATTTGATTTCTTTCAGCTTATCTGTTTACATTAAGCTCATTCAAATAGAGGTAGAGGAAGACCTCAAAGACCTTTCAACAATATATGTCAAGGAATCATGCTCGAACCAATAATTAATGAAACGAAAAGGTTTTTGACCCCAAAGTTGAGAACAATACTTAAAATAAAAGAGAAAAATAATCAAAACCAAGATGAGGAAAATGCCATATACTGCTTGATACCCGCAACTCCTCCCATGCACCAGTTACTAAAAATGATATAACTTTCTCATTTTCCCTTCCCCATCATTTGATTGATACCATGTAAACCTCTTACCTAGATAATGAAGATCATTAGTAGACATCTCTTTAATAAAATAAAACTCTTAATACTTAACTGACGCCTTGTCTCGATACATGTATGACAACCCCCTTTCGCTCATGGGGCCTAATAACAACATTAAAGCCTCCTACCATACTCGACACATTCCCAAGGAACCATTGAGCTTGAACCAAAATACAAAAAATAGGAGAGGTTCAACAACTAAAATACAAAAAATCCGAGGATGGTACAAGAAGTAACAATCTCTGGGTCAAGACCAAAGAAGAAAAAAATACAAAAATACAACAACTAAGAAAACTACAAAAGACATCGCCATAAAAAACAAAATCAAATAGAACACCACAATTATAAAAGACGTAACAAAAATACATCCAATAAAGATCAAAGATATTACCTAAGTTAGAATTCGAACCTAATGGTTGAGTTCTTTCCATTTATAGTAATTATGACTATATCATCAAACAATTAAAAAAAAATTCACCTACAAATTAACTCAACATACACTTAATTAATTAATTAGAGTTATTGGGAATTTTCGCACGCTACTAAGCCAATAATGCGAAAACTTGTACAAATAAACCAATAATGCAAAAGCTTATACAATAGCTTGAATAAGAGAATATAACATTAATGAGACAAGATATATCTTAGATCTCATTAATTCACTACAAAACTTAAATCTTAAATTTCTTAAAAGGACGTGTTAAAATTTCTCAAAAGGAGTGTAAGATGACCATAGAACCCATAGTTTGACCAAATTTAATAACGAGTAAAAGGGTATCAGCCGTAATGGAAACAGTATGGATCCATTTTCACACGTGTATAATTTAAGCCATCACATTCTCTCAAGCGTGTATGGTCGGGTCACTCTATATATATAAAACTCACAACTATGCACTTCTCACCTTACCATTTTTGGGGAAATTAATAATATCTTCTCTCTTCTTCATCCACTTGTCTCATTCATTCATTTCAAGGTAAGCTGCTTATTTTCTCAATCTGCTTTTCTTCCATATGTGAGAGAGAGTGTCTTTTAAGTTTGAATTATTCCTTCAATTCTAAGATTTCAAGTTTTTTTTCCCACTATTTCAGGGCATACTCTATACCAAATCAAATTAAATTTTTAGAAACAAAACTGTGAAGATGATGAAAGTTGTGCCCCCCATCTATATGCCTGAACTTGTAAGCATACCTACTAATCTTATCTATCAATCAAAGATCACTTTTCTTAAAACATATAAACTTAGGGTTGAGACAATTTTTATTTCTTGCATATATAGATATATAGGAAGAAAACTTACTCTTATATTGATTATTTTTTAATAGGGATTTGAGGATCTCAGTTTCTTTCATCAATACCCTATGGATTCTCTTCCATCTCCATTTGACAACTTTGACTTCAACTATGACAACAACTATGAAACTACACCAAACTGTTTACCACTTGAAACTCAACCTGATAATCACTACGTTGCTCAAACAAGACCAACCAAGAAGATCAAAACATCTATAAACCCTTCTTCCTATTCATCACCTCAACTCATTTCTTTTGAGCACTTCAATGCAACGCCGGTTGCTTCTAATGAACTTTACAACCTCGATTATTCTGATGTAAAGCCTAAACTGGAGAAAGGGTGCAATGAAAACAAAGATTTTGCCGCAAATTATGATATCCGAGCGAATCAGACGAGGAACACGGCTCAAGCAAAGGAACATGTAATGGCTGAAAGAAAACGAAGGGAAAAGCTCACCAGAAGTTTCATAGCTCTTTCTGCTATCCTTCCTGGCCTCAAGAAGGTATGATCTTAAGTAATCTCTGAGATCCAAAATGAGTTTTTTTTTATATTTTTTTTATTGAGAAAGAAAGATTAAATTTGGATTTCCTAGTTTAACCTAATTAGTGAATAAACACAAATAATACTTAACCTAATTAAGTTGAACCAGACTATAATATACATATATGTATTGAATTATTTTATTTATATTTATGAATTTATAACATGTGTAGATGGATAAGGCTTCTGTGTTGGGAGATGCAATAATGTATATGAAAAAATTACAAGCACGTTTGCATACTCTAGAGGCACAAGTTGAAGACAACAAAAAAACTGGATCTGCAATTCAAGTGAAGAGATCTGTTATTTTCTCCACTGATGATCATGATGATGACAGCAACTCCAACAACTCCAACAACCAGACACTTCCTGAAATCGAAGTAAGAGTTTCAAGAAAAGATGTACTCATCAAAATTCAATGCGACAAACACAGTGGACGTGCCACTACCTCTACGGTACTCGGCAAATTAGAAACCCTGAATCTCACTGTCCAAAGTAGTAACTTATTGCCCTTCGGAAACAACATTGTTGATCTAACTATTGTTGCTCAGGTACCTAAAGTTTTAATATATCAGATTAATGGCTAAACCAAGATGATCATAACATGATAGTTAACTAATTATCTTGCAGATGAACGAGGAAAACTGTGTGACAGCAAAGGATCTCCTAGGAAGCATACGACATGCATTAATCACCAATAAATAATTAACAAGTTGAAGGATTAATATTACTTAATCTACGTCAATAAGTTTACTCAACAACTATTTTTATCACAGTGCTTTCAATCATTTTTTTCCTTGCGGAGGATTCTGGAGTATAAGATAAATGAAGGAAAGTCCTGTGGTTGGAGAATCTGATATCTATTTTCAAATTTTCACATGTATGATTCATTTGTTTCACAAGGGTTGTTTTGTTGTGCTCATGGTCGGTGTGTGGAATTTCAACAGATGGTGCCAAAGTGTTTTTCTTCTGTTGTGTTATTTTTTGCATAGTTGACTTGACTCATTAACTATGTTAATTCCACATATGTGTAATTCTTCATTTTTTAATCATTGTTGAGATGGTTTTTTTTAGAAGGTTTGACATATTGTATAGACCTCTTTCTTCCATCTTTCGTGTTGTGAAAAGGTTCTGGTTTGATAGAAACTGTGCCAACTACTTTTGTTTTTTTAATATTGTTTCTTTTGTTGTTTTGTGATTACTTATTTTGTATAAAATCTTATGATTATAGTCTTGATATCGAATTGCTATTATTTTATAGTCTTTGATGTCCTTCCTGTTGGTGCAAAGATAGAATAAATGATGAAATAGGAAATATTACTAATTAGAGAATGACGGCTACAAACATGATATTTTGTTACAATGATTGTCACCCTATTTATAAGCTAAAACTAGGGTTACTAGAATAAGATAAATACTAAAATACCCTCTAACAAACTTAGGGGCTAAGAAAATAGTACAACTAAATAAATATGAATTATTAATAATATTCTAATACCATCCCTTAATTCATATTCCATCAAAACTTGTGACACCAATTCCATCCCTTAATCTGAGAAATTGATCAGTTTTGATAGCTTTCGTCAGAACATCTGCCAACTGCTTCTGAGTGCTGCAGTGTACAACTTCTAGCACTCCACTCTGAACTTGATGTCTCAGAAAATGATACTTGGTCTCAATATGCTTGCTTCTCCCATGCAACACTGGGTTTCTAGCAAGATTGATTGCAGACTTATTGTCAATCATCAACTTCAGAGGTTTGTCTACTTTAATCTTCAGATCCTGCAACAGATTCAGAATCCACACAGCTTGGCATGCAGTAACAGCACCTGCAATGTATTCAGCTTCACAGGTTGACAACGCCACAACAGGTTGCTTCTTGGAACACCAAGAAATGGGACCTCCCAGAAATTTGAACAAGTACCCAGATGTACTTCTTCTGTCAACTCTGTCTCCACACCAATCAGAGTCTGAATAACTCAGAAGTTCTGACTCATTATTTCCTCCAGAGGGAAATAACACTCCATACTTCAGAGTTCCTTTGATATACCTCAGAATCCTGACAGCAGCTTGGTAATGGGACCACTTAGGTTTACTCATAAACCTACTAACCATCCCAACTGAGTAGCAAATATCAGGTCTGGTATTGCACAGATACCTCAGAGAACCAACCAACTGTTTGAAGGTTGTAGCATCCACATCCTTTCCTTCAGAGTCTGAATCCAGTTTCTGATTTGTATCAGAAGGTGTGACAGCCATCTTACAATTCTTCAGATCAAATCTCTTCAGAAGTTCTAATTCATACTTGAGCTGATGCAAAATGATACCTTTCTCAGAATATCTGAACTCCATCCCTAGAAAGTATGTCATTTTGCCTAGATCAGTCATTTCAAATTCATTCATTAGAACCTTCTTGAACTTGGCTATCTCCTGTTCAGAACTTCCAGTCAATAGTATATCATCAACATATAAACATACCAGAGTCATATTGCCTTCAGAAGTATGCTGAACATAGACACCGTACTCCATCTCACATTTCTGAAAGCCTTGCTTCTTGAAAAATGAATCAATCTTCTGATTCCAAGCTCTGGGCGCTTGTTTCAATCCATATAGAGCTTTGTATAATCTGTACACCATCCCTTCCTGATTCTTTTTCACAAATCCAGGAGGTTGTGACACGTAAACTTCTTCTTCTAATGGACCATTCAGAAATGCAGATTTTACATCTAAATGCATCAGAGGCCAATTCCTGTTAGCAGCTATTGCAATCACCATTCTGATTGTTTCATGTCTTGCTACAGGTGCAAACACTTCAGAATAATCCAGCCCAGGTTTCTGTAGAAATCCTCTGGCTACCAACCTTGCTTTATGTTTGCCAATTGAGCCATCTGGCTTTAACTTCTGCTTGAAAACCCATCTGACGCTGATGGCTTTCTTGTCTTTTGGAAGTTCTGTCAGCTTCCAAGTCTTGTTTCTCTCTATAGCATCAAGTTCTTCTTTCATGGCCTTCAGCCAGAGCTTCTGCTTAAGAGCCTCCTCTGTACTTATAGGTTCAGAGTCTACTAACATGGCACACTGAATAACTTCTCCTTCAGAGTCTACTTCAGTGTCTTGCAGCATGTCAAATTCTGCAAATCTTCTGGGAACGCTTCTGATTCTTTGTGGTCTCTGAACTTGTTCAGAGTCTTGAGCTTCAGAGTTTCTAGCTTCAGATGATTGACCTCCAGAGCTTTGACCATCTTCAGAGTCTGGCATATTTTCAGAGTCTGAATTGCCACCAAGATCTGGATTGCCATCAGAGTCTGAATCATCAGAGTCTGGGTCACCTTCATCTTCTGAGTCTTCTTCAGAGTTTGAATCAGTATCAGAGTCAGAGTCAATATCAGGGTTTACTTCAACTTCAGAAATTCTTAACTCTGGCCTTTCTTCAGAGGTTCTAACATCAGAATCAGATTGAGACTTATCCCAATTCCAAACTTCTGATTCCTTCACAATCACATCTCTGCTGAATTCAATTTTATTGGTTTCTGGACAATAGAGCTTGTATGCACCTGTACTGTGGTACCCTATCAGAATCATCACTTTGCTTCTATCATCCAGCTTCTGTCTTCTGGCTTCTGGAACATGTTTATAGCAAACAGAACCAAACACCTTCAGATGACTAACACTTTGCTTGTCTCCAGTCCACTTCTGCATAGGAACTATTTCCTTCAACTTCTTCGTAGGACATCTGTTGAGTACATACGTTGCAGTGGCAACAGCTTCTCCCCAGAGCTTCTGAGGAAGCTTCTTCTCCTTTAACATGCTTCTCACCATATCAAGCAAAGTACGGTTTCTTCTTTCAGCAAGACCATTGTGTTGAGGGGTATAAGGAGCAGTAACCTCATGCTCAATTCCATTCTCCTCACAGAACTTCTGGAACTCTTTGGAGTTATACTCACCTCCACCATCAGTTCTAAGAATCTTCAACTTCTGACCACTCTGATTCTCAGCCTTCATTCTGAACTTCTTGAATTCATCAAACACCTCGTGTTTGAACTTTATAAGGGATACCCATGTCATTCTTGTGAATTCATCAACAAACAACACAAAGTATTTATTCCCTCCAATTGATGCTACTGGAAATGGACCACACACATCAGAATGTACAACTCCCAAGGCATGTTTTGCTCTTGGAGCAACTTCTGATGCAAATGGCAATCTTGGTTGTTTTCCTTCCATGCAAACTTTGCATGATTTTTCAGGCTTCTTAATTGCAGGAATTCCATGTACCAATTTCTTTGAATTCAGATGTTGTAAGCTTCTGAAATTCAAATGACCAAATCTTCTGTGCCACAGCTCACTCTCCTTCTCAGTACTTGTTGCACTAAGACACTCTGAGTCTGCAGTTCTGACATTCACCTTGAATGTTCTATTCCTTCCCTGTTCTGACTCCATAATCAACTTCTGATTACAGTCATACAGCTTCAGAAGATTGTCCTTCATGGTAACTGAGAAACCTTTCTCAATTAATTGCCCCACACTCATCAGATTGCTTCTGATGCCAGGTACATACCACACATTCTGAATCAATGCTATTTTCCCATTGTTCAGAGTCACTCTGACATTTCCCATACCTTCTGCATTAAGATATTTGTCATCAACACATCTGATCTTTGTTCTCTTTTCAGAGTCAAAGTCAACCAGCCATTTCTTGTTTCCAGTAAGATGATTTGAACAGCCAGTGTCCATATACCACCAGTCTGTCAGATCATCAGATTCAGAGGCCATCAATAGCACAGATTCGTCATCAGAACTTCTGGCTATATTTGCTTCTTCTGATTTCTTCTCCTTGTTTGACCAACAATCTCTAGCAAAGTGACCAAACTTCTTACAACAGTAACATTGTATTTTTCTTTTGTCATACTTCTCTTTTCCCCTCTGAGCATTCTTTTGTCTATCAGAGGTTGAGCTTTCTGACTTCTGACCACCATCAGATCTTCTCTTGACTTCTGACTGCTTCTGATACCTCCTATCAGAAGTTGCTTTCAGAGCCTGCTGTTCTACTTCCTTTTCAGAGTTTCTCTCAGTCAGACGCAACTCTTGCGCTTCTAGACTGCTCTGCAGCTCTTCAATTCTCATTGTGCTCAGATCTTTGGAATGTTCTATTGCTACCACAATGTAATCAAATTGAGGAGTAAGGGATCTCAACACTTTCTCCATGATTGTTTCTTCAGAAAGAGTTTCTCCACATGCCTTCATCTCATTAGTGATCAGAATCACTCTGGAGATGTATTCAGAAACTTTCTCATTATTCTTCATGTTGAGATTCTCATATTGCTTTCTCAAGGACTGAAGCTTCACCTTCTTCACTGATGCGTCACCACCATAACATCTCACCAGAGTGTCCCATGCAGCCTTTGCTGTTGTAGAGTCTGCAATCTTCTCAAACACGTTTACATCCACACATTGATGAATGAATAACAATGCTTTCTGATCCTTCTTCCTTACTTCTTTCTACGCGTTTTTCTGTTCATCAGTTGCATCTGCTGCTACTGGAACATAACCATCAGTGACAAGATCCAGAACATCTTGAGCACCAAACAGTACACGCATTTGGATCATCCAACGATTCCAGTTTTTACCATCAAATACTGGAAGTTTGGTGTTCATGTTGCCGTTTCCGTTCATCTTCTACTTTGCACAATACACTCAGAGTTTTCTCA